GAGAGAGAGAGAGAGAGAGAGAGAGAGAGAGAGAGCATTTGGCATATTTAGTCGATGAAAAACAAACTAGATAGTCAGCAGAGGTAGTGCAGATAATAAATGACCTATGGTTAAATACAGATCAAACTTGATCGACAGAAAGGGTAAACATACACACACACAGAAGTGTAGAATTCTGTTTTGTGAACAAACGTTCCAGCGCTCTTGTGAAGCGTGCAATTTTGTTTGTGGGCAGAGAGAGAGAGAGAGAGAAGTTGTGCACAATTGAAAAATAAAGTCAGAAAATAAAGCTGCTCTGGACTGTGATGGCTGATCAGTTTTGTTTCACGCTTGTTGGATCTACTATTATTATGCAGAGTTTCTGTTAGAAGTTGGAAAGTAGGCTAAGAGTTTTTTTTTTAAAACTGAACGTTTATTATAGACCTACTTGGCAATGCACTCTTGAGCTACTTTTCACTGTTTTCTTTCCGGAAAATCTATTTATTGTATTACCTCCCACCAGTAATGATATCGAAAAACTCAATATAATGGCACTAATTCTTGTCAATATGTTTTTTCTTTCCGAAATCAGTTTTACTTACTAAAATGTACATTGACCGACCGAAATTATAGACTTTAACAAATGGTGAAAGACAAATTACCGTTCTATCTCGTGCAGTCAAGCTGATTTTTCTGCATGACGTCAGGGATTGCATTAGCATTCACAAAGTGCGGCCATTTTATCGTGTGTAGTGCTAAAGGAAGAACACGGGCATTTTATCGTTCTTACGCAAAGATAATCCTGTTGGTGGGGTTCTGGTGGTTTTAAGGAAACTTTACTTGGTTAAACCATGGCCAAGCTGATTTCCAGTATTGCGGTGGTGTTGGTTTTACCCTACGTTTTAGCCTTTTCTGGTAAGTAACCACCTACAACCAAAACTCAAAACAGACAAGAACTGATACTGTCCATCATAACGAATGAATGCAGGGTCTCTTTTGTCTGCTGGAGAGTCCAGACGAGAGGCCTATGATACTATCAAGAGATCTTTGAAAGTCTTCTTGTAGACAATGAACGAAGGAGTAGTATCCCGAGAAATCTAGATCTAGATATGTAGATCTAGGATATCAAATGATGGATAATTAACCCTCGTCCTGTGGGGGGCTGGGTTTATGTCGCGGGATAATAAGCCTAGTATTTCGGCGGCACCTCGCCTGCGTTCTGGTCCTGAGTCAGTCTAGCCCCTGGCTCAGCGCACGCGCCGAGCATCGTCTCTCGTGAAACTCTGGTCCCGCGTCGGATCCCCGTTCACGCAGATCAAGTGTGTGTGCGTCAGTCTGCTTGAGTTTGTGTGCGTTTGTGGCTGTGGCTTTCTTCTAGATCTAGAACCGCCTGCGTTGGTTCGTAATCGAGGCATATGTCTCATTCAAATACGCCAAGTTGGTAGCTCTAGATGTTCGTTCAATGAAATTATAGAAGAAACTGACCCACTTAGACATGAGGAGCTGAAAGTAATGAAAGGATAGATCTAGATCTAGATATCTAGATCTAGATCTAGATCTAGAATCTAGTCAGGAAACAAGACTTCCATTTTTCTCTATACAAAATCTTTCAAATGAGCTTTATTTTGTATGAAATGATACTAGATCTAGATAATCTACCTCAACTAGATCTACCTGATAAAAAATAAGGGTAAATTTTTACTTTCACTCCCGCACACAGATGCACTGCTTCAGGGGGGTCAAACTGCAGTCCTGTTTGCTGCAGATCACACATAAAGTCACTAAAACTGTCGCAAATCAATTATTTTCAAGACAATTTCAAATCTAACTGAAATATCAGATTATGGGTAAGCCCCCCCTGTAACCCCCCAGATTTTCTTTTACCCCAGTGGAGCAGGCCCCCCTGGAACCCCCCGATTAGTCCAAAGCCTGTCGATCTAGGTTAAAAACAATCAAATATTTCAAAAACTATAATTTGCGACGGAAATGAAGTTGATATTCGTGTTCAGCGTATCAATATTTAGCAGAAAATAGACAACTGGTAGCTGAGTATGAGACGGGAGGGAAAGTAAAAAAATACCAAAATAAGCTTGTTTGATAGTTTTGAATACCATTGTACAGGTACAAAGAAATGAAGACGGCCTTTTTTTTTTCTTCTCTGTCTTTTATTTTTTGGCCACCCTCTGGATTCTGATTTTATATTGGTCTTTTTCTACGATGATTCGAAGACCAAGGAGCATTTGAATAATCGTCATCCTCTGCGAAATTGGTTTTTAGCTTTCAGTCAACGGAGTGTCTACATACATGGTAACCAGGCACCTTGCCTCAGTGTCTATGTACACAGTAACCGGCAACTGGGCACGTAGTGTCAGTGTCATGTACATGGTAACCGGGCCTGTAGCCTCAATATCTGCGTAACCGTCAACCGGGCACGTAGTCTCAGTGTTACTTACATGGTAACCGGGCAGTTCAGAACTCAGAGTTCAGTTTTTGTCGTCCGGTGTTGCCGTCATCCTCACCCCTCCCCCGACTGTACCTTAAAAAAATTCAATAATCCCCCCATTCTGGAGTCCTATACTTGGCAGCGCACAGACTTTGAATGAGTTTGGTGACCCCAACCGGTACTCACAATGCAATGCGCACGCACAGGTTCTCTGACTGGTCACGATGGCGAACCCGACAAGACGCTTGTATGACTTTCTTTTTTTTCAGCAAGTGACAGCACAGGACAAATACAGTCGAACCTGTGTAAGACGGAATGGCAAGGGAGCGGGGAAAAAATTTCATCTTAGACAGGGGAATTTGGGGGGGGGGTTCAAAGGCCCAGCCGGTGGGATCAAGGATCGCTTGTGCGATCGGCAAGCAGTGGTCAAAACTTCACACCTCTCAGCTGCTATCCTGTCTGATAGTGACATGCGTCAGTCTTACGTGTTCAATTACCACCAGTGCTTGCCTTTCATAGGACCACTGTTTGACCTTTTAAAAACAGAAACGTTTGAACATCTCCTTGGCTTCCACCCTTGGTCCCACCCACCAAAGCCACATGTCACAGCCATCAATGTAACAACGATTCGAGGAACTCTTTTCTCGGCTGGCCGTACGATCAGGGCGGCAGGCATTGGTCAATCTAATTTCACACCTCTGGCTTCTGGTTACCCAGGAAAGTTTCCGTAGTGGCTCGCTACTCGAGCACTCTCAAGGGCAGTTGTGAGATATCACACCCTAGCAATGCCAATGAAAATTTAAATTTTCACTTTTGTCCCCTTTTTTTGGTACCTAAGAAAGAATTTTCAATTCTAAGAATTATGCTTCTTGAATTTTGAGAATCGGTTCATAAATAAAAAAGTTATGGGGTTGTAAAGGTCGGCAAAATATGGATGACCCACATATATAGGAAAATACTCCTAAAAAGTGGACCACACAGTAGCAGATTCTGTAAGAAAATCGACGATATCTCGGTAACTAATCGGAGTGTTCGAGAGAAACTTAGCTACCCGATGTGTTTTTGAGTGTAGAAATCATTTCTGCAGTCAGATTTACTACCAATTTCATTTCGTAGTTATTTTGTTATAATTAAAATTGTGGTGAACATATTACGATTTTGCGAAAAAGGGGTGTCGGGATGAGTCCATTTTATTTATAGCATTGTATCACAACATGGGATCTTTAAGAATATATGTTGGCAGCGTGACTAAATAATTGCAAAGCTTTTTATGATGACTTTAGACCATGCCAACCTTAAAAGATAAGTTTATTCAATCTAGCATGCCGTACAATTAAAAATTCTTTTTCCCTGTTGAGACGCGAACACCCCGAGACGAGATAACCTCGCCTCGGAATACCCCCATAGCGATGTTACAGGGGAATAGAGAGAAAAACAACCGGATGCGCGCGCCCGCCATTGCCCTATTTCAAGTGACCAATGAACGGGCCCGTAATAGTCATGCGGGGATTTGTAGGTCACATACATTTGCCACGAGAGTGAGGGGAAAATGGCCGGTCTCCGTGCGAAGCCGCTTTGGATAGGGGGGTAGTCGTGCAATTATGATCGGGTCTAAACAACTACTTGACACAGAACGTTCAAATTTGAGCACACCATAGAGGATAGATAGATCTATTACCATCTCGGCGTTGAAATTCAAACTCCTTATAGTTTTCGGTGTACACGATACGAAAGTGTTCCCGACACCAAAAGTATAGGTTAATTTATGTGTACTAACTTCAACGTCCACATATCATTAGTTTGCCCTATTTTCTGATTGGTTGCCGAGTTTCATTCGGATTGGTTCGGAAATAGAGCAGACCGAGGTTGACAAAGTTAGTCACCTACGCTTCGGCCGGGTCCGCAAAATCGCCCGTAAACGGGGACCAAATTTTCGCCTCGCGGGAAAGCCCCATTGGCATTGCTACACACCCACACTACACTGACCATCTGTATCGCGCAGGGCTCACATGATGGGGTAACTTCTACCCCGATTTCACCCCTACTCCCCTTCCTTGCTCAGCGGCATGGCCATGGCGTTAAGTTTAGAGCTGCCGGAACCAAACTTGCGAGTTTTGTTTCAAATCAGGGTTGAGCGGGCAAAGCATTTTCCGTCTTAGACAGGTGAAACCCTCGGAAGGGAGCAGATTTTTCTTTCCGTTTCCGCGTTGGACAGGTTTCCGTTTTATACAGGTAATTAAAGAGGAATATATCAAGGGGTGGAGCGGGGAAATTCCGTTAAGACAGGTTTCCGTTTTACACTGGTTTCCGTAAAGGCAGGTTCGACTGTATTGATTTATTTTCATTCCGATTACCGTGTACGTAGATACTGAGACTAGGTGCCCAGTTACCATGTATGTAGATACTTAGACTAGGTACCCGGTTACTGTGTACGTAGACACTCCGTTCAGTCAAGGCATGATGCTATTTAAGGCTATATTTTTGGACCTGCTCATACTTTTGTTTTTCCCTTTTTGCTTTTTCTATGCTCTTCTGGTAAGGTATGCAATGAGTGATCAAAATAGCTTTTGGAAACTCATTAACATCAAATTAAATGTGACTTTGAGGTTAAGTTGTCTGACAGATCTGTGAATTTCTTAGTTTTGTATTCTTAAAAGTTTGAGGGTTAAGTGCACTTTTTTGTGACCAGAAGATCCAGTCCTGAAAATTAAACAGACGGAATATTAAAAAGATGAGAGCTCTTAATATATTTTTTTGGCATGGTAATGGTTGTTGTGACACAGAAGGTGTATGGAGGTACAGTGGGCTTTACTTTAGGCTTTGATCCTTGTTTTTGACACTTTCCACTCATGCAGCACACAGAGGGTACAACACTTTTATCCCCACGGACCAGGATACAAGTGCGGTATATGCTATATAACACCGGCGCTCGGGACGGCTTCTACGGACGCCGATAAAGTGTTAATGGCTCCTGGTCTAAGATCTTAAATTTGCCAGGTTTTGCAAAATTTATTTTTCTCAAGAAAAAATTCACTGCAATAATATTGAAGTCTCTTCCTGTCTTTCTGTGACCAGGCTTTTCATGTGCTTAAAATGTGTTTTACTTGTTCTAATAACAATTTTAGCACAATCAGGTATTTAGCCTGTAAATTATAGAGGGAGATTGGGCAATCGCAGACATGGATGTTTTAAACTTAGAAAGTTTTATATTATATATATTATATTTTGCCATCTGAGAAAAAAGAGTGGTAGTTGAGAAGGATAGTTAGCCAGTATACATTTGATTGGAGTTGTAATTTTAGAGGGGCGAATAGAATAGTTTTGATATTTGTAATGGCATAAAGGAAGTTTTATTCTGAAATTTGACTCACAAGTTATTTTTAGAAACTGGGAATTCACGTTATAACACAGTTCTTCCTCCTCCTGCTTAAAAAAAAAAGACATTTCCAATAGTACTGCATGAGGAAGTTAA